ACAGCGATTCACAATCTCGATAACTTCGCTCTTGATGAGTACAAAACACACTTTATATTACCCCGCTGGCTTTCACTGCCAGGCTTATATATACTAACAAAGAGACACCTTGATCACACTTGAGCTTCCCTGATAATTTGAGAAACTCAGTCATGCATGCGCTAGCAGAGTCACATGACTTCTACTGTTGTAACAGAAGTTCTCATTTTAAAGATGCCATGCTACATTTTAAGCTTCTTAACAAAGGTTATTAACAGACATACCAATGATACAGTAATGTCAGAAGTGTATAGAAAGTGTTTTAACCGACTAGTATTTATAAAAATATTTTAATAAAACTAACTGTACATTTTTTAAGGTTCCTTCCTTTATCTTATCAACATTTGTAATCAACAAAAATAACAAGAAATCACTTGTGTACATTTTAGTTTTCATTTGTAGCCATAAAGATTTAGATAAACTTTAGTAGATTTTGATATTTACATCGAGACCTTGTGTGTAAGCTTGTTTTGTGACCAAACTTTACTCTTGCAGGGTTGAAGTACACGAGATTGTGTCTGTAAAGAATGTGAAATTATCACAATCCAAGACGAGCAGGTTGAGTAATGAAAATATGTTGGTAAGTTAGTCTTGTAAGTATTATTTGGGAAATAAAGATCACATGTGAAGTCCTTAAAAACAACCAAGGTGTCCAAAATTTATGTACTCCCACATCAGCTTTTGACTAAACAGTACAAACCATACGCAAGTATACACTTAATGCAGGCCACTTTCAAAATCATAAAAACTGATAACAAAGGAGGGGGGGGAGGTAAAATAAAACACTTAAGATATGTCTAAAAGTACACTGAATTTCCTCTTTATAAAAACAGATTTAAACCTAACTTTATTTTAGTAATAGCCTAAGTACAAAGTTATATGAATGACACAACCAGCAATATATTATTATAATAAAGTTTCTATATTTATCTTTATCATACAGGAAACTAACACTAAATTTATAATCTATACAAGATGAAGGTTCTCAATAGAAAAATAAACATGTAGCTCCTGAAACTTGCATGATAAATGTAAAAGTTGAAATTAAAAAACTCTTAATATACAAGGTCATCTTTAACATAACAAATACAGCAATAATAATGTTTCTACTACTACTACTACAACAAACCACCACACGCACACACACACATTTAGCTGAAATTTTCAAAAAAGATTTAATATAACACTGTATAAAATATAGAAGTTTAATGTAGAAGTTTGAAAATAAAAACACTTACCAATTGAAAGAGATACTTCTGTGGGATAATTCTTTATCTTCACATTTTAAAACTGATAAACCAAAAAAAGACAAGTATAAATAAAAGTTACAATTTTAAAATGTCACGTACATTAGTTGTTTTTCTAAACCAGTTTTTAAGTAGCAAGATTTATAATATGTCAAAATATTAGTTATTAATAAGTATGTTTCTTTTAACTTTGATTTATATTGTATGAAAGAAAGACTATCAAATTTATCTTCAAGATACTACAGTGGTTTTAACAGATCCTGTACCAGTCTTATATTAAATATTACTCAAATATTAAAGTACACGCACAATCTTACGTTAAATTATACAGGCATTATCAGCATATTGTCTCAAGCAACCAAGCACAAGTTTTTTCAGAGTTTCCATAACAACCCACCTTAAACTGTCAAAGTTGTTTTAAAATTCAAATGTAGATAGAAAATAATTTACTTGTTATTGAACAAGTTGATATACAGTTAGTACAAATGTACGAAGAAAATAGTTACACTCGTACACAAATACACAAACTAAAACTTGATTTTAAATGATAGTTGAAATTACTCCATGCTTCCTTATACAAGTTATTAATATTCATACTTTTCAGACATTTGTCACTTAAGGTTTCAGCATCAATACCAGTCTGAGATTTGGGTAATAGTTTCACAGTTATCAGTAACAAGTAGTGTTGTGACAATTAACAAAACTCAGAACAAACAGCTAAAGAAATAAAATATTTTTTAAACTATTTGTAAATTAACAAAAAAAAAACTTGAAATATGAAACTAGAAAAATAAGTTAAAATATAGAATAAACTTTGTGGAGAAATTAAGTGTACATTTTACATTAATGTCAAAATAACACTAACAATATATCATTTACAAAAGGTTCACCTGCTAAAACTTAAATGTAACAAGTTACGTTTATCAATAGAAGTACACATACAGCTAACTAATCAATATTTGAGAGAATACTTTGGTTTGATAATTACAACATTTAACAGGTGACCAAGTTTACATCACAAGTGTACAAAGTTACAAACATTAAATTGTTAAACAAAGCTACATAAACAGAATGACTAGTTAAACAGGAGTTAGAAATATTTTCTTTGCAAGAGAAAAAACAAATGTTACTTTTAGAAATTAAAACAAGTTGTCTTTTGAGATACACCTTACAATTTGGACATTAAATGAGGTCAGAAGGATACCATAAACTTCAGAAGGAAAAACAAAACAAAAAAAATTCTAATTCATAGTAGAAAGGAACATTTGATCCATAGCTTCTGTATTGGATATTTATAAAAAAACCTTGCTTTAAAATGTTGTACAATTTGAATGTTAAAAAGTATTAATTATTCAAATAGTCATTCTTTCTTACAAACAGCTTAGGAAAGTGACAATAAGTCTAAAACCAATCTTACCAAAGTCATTAAAACAAAATGTTAGCCATTTAATTAGCACTTTCTTTACAAATCAGTTTTTACCAAAAACTAAATAAAAACTCACATACAAGAATTATGGATCTATTAAAGTTAATAAATTTAACATTCACTTGTAAAACAAGTTAGTAAATACAAAACAAATACTTTTACTTCTAACAAGTTAAGAAGAAGAAAAAAATAATAATTCAGAATTTAATCCAACAAGCTCACACTTTGTAGTTAAGAGTAAATACAAACGATTCTTTAAAAGTCTTCAGGTCAAATGTAGATTTACACTGTTACACGTATGTACCTTTAGTGTAGGTAAGTGTTTACTTTAAGTTCTGATATTTCTGTAATGTACATTATAATATTAACTTTAAGAATGTTAAATTTACCAGAAACATTAAGTGGCTCGAGCTCATCCATGCAAGATTTTTCACAATCACAAGACTGTTATTCTTATTTCATTTCACGTTAGCACTAATCGTTTGATGGATTGAATAGAGTCACCAACATCAATAAATACTGCATTTAACTCTAGTTTTTATATTTCTCTAACCAAACCAATAAAATTAAAAGAAAAACTTAACAAAATTATAACACAGAAAAAAAATTCATAATTTGTACTTACATTATATATATCCAGTTGTATAAAGAAACGTTCACTTCTGGAATCACTCTTCACCTCAAAAACTTAACACAGTGATTCAAATTCAACAACAACAACAAACGTTTTAACAAGTATTAGAAACCTTTGAAAAAAAACCTTCTTTAATTCTACTTTCTGAGAAAAACCTACTCCACACTTGTTTAAATACATCCTGATAAGTATGTTGATTGGTCAATGTAAAGTAGCCACGCCCTCAGCAAGGACAGACTAATTGATCAACCAAGTGGAATTGATACAACCTTTTCTTTAATTTGATGAAATTGAATAAATCTTAAGGAAACTTAGGCAGTAAAAAATATCTGTCCTTGTTTGTTCTTAACTACAAACTCAAGTTAGAACTGTAACCATAGGTAACATTCAAAATTCAACCAGCTTAACAG